CACATCAGCTCTAGTTTCTTAGATATGGTTATCATGATTTTCTATGGGCAAGCAGATGAAGAATGGTATATTCCATATGTCCTAGATTTCAAAAACTAGACCTGACAAGGGAAAACTGGTGCCATTTTTTAAATCAGCAGGTCAAATATACCCTAAAACAGTGCTGACATTTGGGGCACCAAAACATGCCTTGGCTAGTGTTGTCAAATACATCTCTCCTATAGCAATGATTACAATGTTATATGATTTCTAGATTAGGAAAAATTGATTGTGACAGAGGTTTATAAAGGGGCAACGTGATGTGTAGCATGTAGATGGTCTTTTTCTCCTTCTCTCATAACCCAAGGTCATCCAACTGATAATGGATAATTACAAGTTCTGCACAGACAAGAGGAGCTTCATGCAGCACATAAATGGGGTAAGGTGCTAATACAGATGTCTAAATCAGGTTAGAAATCATCCAAACATAGTTTGACTATACCTCCTAGCAGTCCTAACCATTGGACATGGGCTGATGGGAGGTGTTATCTAACAGTATAGTGTTCCCTCGCTACTTCGCAATTTGCTTTTAGCGGACTCGCTGTTCCGCGGGTTCTTGAAAATATTAATTAAAATATTAAATATTAAATATTTATGTCCAGTGGAGGCCAGGGATCCCAGAAGTGTGGTGGCCTGAGGCCCAGCAAGGAAGGTCTGCCTTCCTGGCTTCCATAGACCCCAGAAGTCTTGTGTGGCTCCGGAGGCTCTGCGGAGGCCAGGGAGGCAGGCTAATGCCCTTGGGATGGGCTGGGAGGCAGGTAAGGAAGTGCAGGTAAGAAAATAATATAGAAGATATAGAAAATAATGTATACATATTAAGATTAATATGGTGTCCCTACTTCATGGATTTTCACTTATCGCGGGTGGTCCTGGAATGGAACCCCCATGATAAGCAAGGGAACACTGTACTTGCATAATGTCTTCCCCTGATCTGGCCTAACATTTATCTATGACAGTGGTTCTCAACCTTTCTAATGCCTTGACCCCTTAATAAACTTCCTCATGTAGTGGTGACCCCCAACCATCAAATTATTTTTGTTGCTACTTCATAACTGTAATTTTGCTACTGTTAGGAATCATAATGTAAATATCTGATATGCAGGATATATTTTCATTCACTGGACTAAATTTGGCACAAATACCCAATACACCCAAATTTGAATGCTGGTGGGGTCGGAGTGGGGGGCTGATTTTGTCATTTGGGAGTTGTAGTTGCTGGATTTATAGTTAACCTACATGGGGGTTCTGTGTGGGAAGTTTGGCCCAGTTCTTTCGCAGGTGGGGATCAGAATACTCTTTGATTGTAGGTGAACTATAAATCTAAGCAACTACACCTCCCAAATGTCAAGGTCTATTTTCCCTTAACTCCACCAGTGTTCACATTTGGGCATATTGAGTATTCATGCCAAGTTTGGTCCTGATCCATCATTGTTTGAGTTCACAGTGCTCTCTGGATGTAGATAAACTACAACTCCAAAAGTTAAAGTCAATGTCCCCCAAACCCTTCCAGTATTTTCTGTTGGCCATGGGAGTTCTGTGTGTCAAGTTTGGTTCAATTCCATCATGGTGGAGTTCAGAATGCTCTTTGATTGTAGGTTAACTATAAATCCCAGCAACTACAACTCCCAAATGACAAAATCAGCCCCCCCCCCAACTCCGACACTACCAGCATTCAAATTTGGGTGTATTAGGTATTTGTGCCAAATTTAGTCCAGTTAATGAAAATACATCCTGCATATCAGATATTTACATTATGATTCATAATAGTAGCAAAATTACAGTTATGAAGTAGCAACAAAAATAATTTTATGTTTGGGGGTCACCACTACATGAGGAAGTTTATTAAGGGGTCATGGCAGGGCCCTCAGCCATGCAGGGCTTGGATCCAGACTGGCCCCTCTCTCAGCCTATTGGGGGGGACGGGGGATGGAGAGGGAGTTTTGCATATCTGTCAAACTGTATAAGAAGTTTTGCTTTTCTCTGTATATGCTTAAAGATTTGAAGTCTTCATTTGTATTTGCATCCCTTTCAGCTGAATTGAATAAACCTCTGCAGCTTGTCTTCAACCTGGTGAGTGTTCTCTGACCTGGCCCATTCAGTATAGCATGCACATGCCAGGCACAGATCCCCTTATCCGTGGTCCTCATTATCCACTATAAAGGGAGAAAATTCAGCACCCGTCTCCCACTCCAAGGACTACCCCATTCCTCCCTCTAGGCTTTCTTGTCTTAATGTGAACAGTAGCCATTTGCTCTCCCAGAGAAGAAAGGTCAGGAGCAATTCTTTGTAGGCTATTTCAGATTACACAATATATGATTCTATCTCATTTGCCAGGTTGGGATCCTATTTTTTTTTAAAGCCAATGGGATTTTGGCCTGCATCAATAGGAGTATAGTGTCTAGATCCGGGGAAGTCATGCTACCCCTCTATTCTGCCCTGGTTACACCACACCTGGAATAGTGTGTCCAATTCTGGGCACCACAATTGAAGAGAGATATTGACAAGCTGGAATGTGTCCAGAGGAGGGTGACTCAAATGATCAAGGGTCTGGAGAACAAGCCCTATGAAGTGTGGCTTAAAGAGCTGGGCATGTTTAGCCTGAAGAAGAGAAGGCTGAGTGGTGATATGACAGCCATGTATTAATATGTCAGAGGAAGTCATAGAGAGGAGGGAGCAAGCTTGTTTTCTGCTGCCCTGGAGACTAGGATGCAATGGAACAATGGCTTCAAACTACAAGAAAGGAGATTCCATCTGAACACAAGGAAAAACTTCCTGTCTGTGAGAGCTCTTCAGCAGTGGAACTCTCTGCCCAGGAGTGTGGTGGAGGCTCCTTCTTTGGAAGCAAGCCCTTCTCACCTTTCCCTTTGCCAGGTGAAGAGAGAGAGAGTGAAGGAAAGGAAGGAAAGCTCCTTCAAGGTTGGAGGAAGGAGGACTGAAGAGAGAACGTGCCTTAGAGAGCAGTGGTAAAAACCAACAAAACAACAAAAAATAAAGCAATATATAGGTTCTTGTGAGTTTTAAATTAATATTTATTGAAAAACCACTAAATAGCAAGTCTGCTAAAAGCGAACCGTGAAATAGTGAGGGAACACTGTATAGCCCAGAATATCAAGGCAGGAAATCCCACATTAGGTTCTTGTGGGTTTTTTCAGAGGTAGTGAGGTCACTACCTCTGAGGATGCTTGCCATAGATGCAGGAGAAATGCCTCTAGAACATGGCTCTATAGCCCGAAAAAACCCATAAGAACCTAGTGATTCCAGCCATGAAAGCCTTCGACAATACAAATCCCACATTATCTGAGTGTGGATCAAAGGCCCTTCCACACAGCCCTCTATTCCAGAATAGCAAGGCAGGAAATCCCACATTATCTGAGTGTGGACACATATAACCCATTTCAAAGCAGATATTGTGGGATTTTCTGCCTTGCTATTCTGGGATATAGGGCTATGTGGAAGGGCCCTGGGTTGTATGGCTACATAAAAAGGCTCATATCATCCAGAGCCCTTTCACACAGCCCTCTATCCCAGAGGGGCTTCAGCCCCTCCCCCCCAAATTCTCATGGTGGTTCGCGAAAAGGCCTTACTGGTGCATTATTGAAACTGTTATGTTTATTCATATCATGATCTGATCACCACACTCAATATGCATGGGGGTATTGGGGTAATGATACAAAAGGTTTGCTAGGCTAGACCCTCTTTCACTCAGACTCAGCCCCCCCCCCCCCCAAAATCACCCTCCCCCCCGAAACGAAATCCTGGCTACAGGCCTGATGGGATATATTTATTTCTATTTATTTATTTTTGAACACTTGTACCCTGCCCTTCTCAACCCCCTGGGGGGACTCAGGGCGGCTTCCAATCGGCAGATTTTTTTGTCATGTCAGGAAACTTCAAGTCACTTCTGGTGTGAGAGAATTGGTCATCTGCAAGGATGTTGCCCAGGGGACACCCGGATGATTTAATATTTTTATCATCCTTGTAAGAGGCTTCTCTCATGTCCCTGCCCGGATGATGTCTTTAGGGAGTGAGTTCCAGAGTTGAGGGGCCACCACCGAAAAGGCCCTCTCTCTCATCCCCACCAATCGCGCCTGCGATACTGGTGGGATTGAGAGCAGGGCCTCTCCAGAAGATCGAAGGGATCCTGTGGGTTCGTATACAGAGATGCGGTCACGCAGGTAGGCGGGTCCCAAACCGCCATATAGGGCTGTGTGGAAGGGCCCTGGGTTGTATGGCTACATGAAAGGGCCCATATAATCCAAGGGCCTTCCACACAGCCTTATTTCCCAGAATATCAAGGCAGAAAATCCCACATTATCTGAGTGTGGACTCAGATAAGCCAGTTCAAAGCAGATATTGTGGGATTTCCTGCCTTGATATCTTGGGATATAGGGCTGTGTGGAAGGGCTCTGGGTTGTATGGCTACATGAAAGGGGCCATAAATCCAAGGGCCTTCCACACAGCCTTATTTCCCAGGATATTGAGGCAAAAAGCCCCACGTTATCTGAGTGTGGACTCAGATAAGCCAGTTCAAAGCAGATATTGTGGGATTTCCTGCCTTGATATCCTGGGATATAGGGCTGGGCGGAAGGGCCCCTGGTTCAAATTAGATAATGCGGATTGTCTGGTTTGACAATCGGGATGATATGTCTGGGTAGAAGAGGCCCCATCCTAGGAGATGGGAAGGTCAACCCGCACAAGGGTTTGAAAAAGCAAGATAATAAGAGCGGCGAGGCGCTTTCTTAAAGGGAGCGGACAGGGGAGCTCCTACAGTGGGGAAAGGGGAAGCCTCAAGTGGGAAACCAAAAAGGAAGGGAAGAGGGAGAGAAGAGGGGACAACCGAAGGGTCCCGTGTTCCCGTCTTGGCTGCTCTGTCGGGGCCCGGGTGTGTCCCTTTAAATCGGCAGGTAGCTCGTCGGGGCGGCGCCGGAGCGGGCCCTCCTTCCCTCCCTCCCTCCCTTTGCTCGGACAGGTCTTCCTGCGGTGGAGGGACTGGCCCGGCCGGGCGGCCAGATGTGGCAGCCGCCTTTCCTTCCTCCTCCTCCTCCTCCTCTTCCTCCTCCGCGGCGGCTGCCTGGCTCGGCGGGCTCCTCCGGGGTCTGCCCTCGAGGGGCCGGGCCATGGGGATGCTGCTGCTCCTGCTGCCGTCCGGGGAGCGCGGCTTCCTCGGGGGCCTCTGCGTGGCCCTCCTCCGCTGGCTCCAGGGAGACAAGTCCTGGGCCCGGAGGCTCGACGAGAGCAGCCTCCTCCAGCAGAAGAGGTACGTCCCGCCTGAGAGGGGAGACAGGGCGCGTCCTGGGGGGCACAGGCAGGACCCCCTGGAGCAGTACTTCTCAACCTTCCTCACGTCGCGGCCCCTTAATACAGTTAGAACCATACAATCCTAGAGTTGGAAGAGACTTCGTGGGCCATCCAGTCCAACCCCCTGCCAAGAAGCAGGAAAATTGCGTTCAAAGCACCCCCGACAGATGGCCATCCAGCCTCTGCTTAAAAGCCTCCAAAGAAGGAGCCTCCACCACACTCCGGGGCGGAGAGTTCCAGTGCTGAACGGCTCTCAGTTCCTCATGTTATGGTGATCCTCAACCATAACATTATTTTCGTTGCTACTTCATAACTGGAATTTAGCTACTGTTACCAATAGTAATGTAAATATCTGATATGCAGGGGGGGGGGGCTGAAGCCTCGAAATTCTGAAGCCTCGAAATTCTGACATATGCGAGTTGTAGTTACTGGGATGTATAGTTCACCTAAAATCAAAGAGCATTCTGAACTCCACCAATGATGGAATTGAACCAAATAGGGCACACAGAACACCCATGATGAACAGAAAATATATATCAATGATTGGCTGGGGGGATAGGGGCACCAAAATACTGTTTGCTTACCGTTGAAAATTACCTAGGGCCGCCTCTGGGTATTGGGATAACGATACAAAAGCTTTGTTAGAGTAGACCCTCTTTTACTCAGACTCTCCCCCCCCCCCCAAATCAAAATCCTGGCTGCGGGCCTGTGCAGGACATGTTTTTATTCTCTGTATACAAACCCATACGATCTCTTCAATCATCTGGAGAGGCCCTGCTCATGTTCCCACCTGCATCGCAAGTGCAATTGGTGGGGACGAGAGAGAGGGCCTTTTCGGTGGTGGCCCCTCAACTCTGGAACTCACTTCCTAAAAACATCAGGCATGCCCTAAATCTGGCAGTCTTTAGGAGGAGCTTGAATACATGGTTGTTCCAGTGTGCCTTCCCAAAATAATGATCCCATAGCACTTTGTCCTCCAAAGCACTTTATATTGTTTTAGGTCTGCTTGTATGTTTCCACAAACCACCCCATCACCTTTTCGCCCATGTCCAGCATTATTTTTAATTTTAATTACATTTGGCCTACCCATAGATTTTCAAGTGTGTTGTCCTATTCATAATGCTTATGTTACTGTTTTATTGTTTTGTTGTTTTTAAATTGCTTGCATTGTTGTTGTTATTGCTTGTATTGTTGTATTTTGGGCTCGGCCTCATGAGTTGGTAGCGGGTATAAATAAAGTGTTATTGTTATTATTATTATTATTATTATTATTATTATTATTCACTGGACCAAATTGGGAACAAATACCCAATATGCCCAAAATTGAACATTGGGGGGGGGGGGGTTGATTTTGTCATTTGGGAGTTGTAGTCGCTGGGATTTATAGTTCACCTACAATCAAAGAGCATTCTGAATTCCACCAACGATGGAATTGAACCAAACTTGCCACATAGGACTCCCATGACCAACAGAAAATACTGGAAGGGTTTGGTGGCCATTGGCCTTGTTTTTTAGAGTTGTAGTTCACCTACATCCAGAGAGCACTGTGGACTCAAACAATGATGGATCTGGACCAAATTGGGCACGAATATGCCCAAATGTGAACATTGGTGGAGTTTGTGGAAAATATACTTTGACATTTGGGAGTTGTAGTTGATAGGATTTATAGTTCACCTACAATCAAAGAGCATTCTGAACTCCACCAACAATGGAATTGGGCCAAACCTCTCACATGGAACCCCCATGACTAACAGAAAATTCTGGAAGGGTTTGGTGGGAATTGACCTTGGGCTTCGCAGTTGTAGTTCACCTGCATCCAGAGAGCACCGCGGATTCAAAGATAATGGATCTAGACCAAACTTGGCACAAATACTCAATATGCCGAAATATGAACACTGGTGATGTTTGGGGAAAATAGACCTTGGGAGTTGTAGTTGCTGAGATTTATAGTTCACCTACAATCAAAGAGTATTCTGAACCCTGCCAATGATAGAATTGGGCCAAACTTTCCATACTGAACCCCATGACCAACAGAAAATACTGGAGGGATTTGGGATGAATTGACAGTGATTTAGGGGAGATGTAGTTCACCTACATCCAGAGAGTACTGTGGATTCAAACAATGATAGATCTGGGCGAAACTTGGCACAAATACTCAATATGCCCAAATGTGAACACGGGTGGAGTGTGGAGAAAATAGATCTTGACATTTGGGAGTTGTGATTGCTGGGATTTATAGTTCACCTACAATCAAAGAGCATTCTGAACCCCACCAATGCTAGAATTGGGCCAAACTTCCCACACTGAACCCCTATGACCAACAGAAAATACTGAAGTGATTTGGGAGGAATTGACAGTGATTTAGGGGAGATGTAGTTCACTTACATCCGGAGAGCACTGTGAACCTAAATGGATTCCTAAGACCATGTGTTTTCTGATGGTCTTTGGCCACCAATGTCACATCAACACAAAGCCTTAGAGTTCAACATAGCCATGGCTCTAGGATAAATACTTTCTCCCAGTCTGTTTGTCCTTGCCTTTGTCACCCTGTAGCCCCCAGTGGCACAGTGGGTTAAACCACTGAGATGCTGAAAGGTCGGTGGTTCAAATCTGGGGAGCTCCCACTGTTAGCCCCAGCTTTTGCCAACCTAGCAGTTCGAAAACATGGGTACCACTTCTGCAGGAAGGTACCTGCACTCCATGCAGTCATGCTGGTCACATGACTTTGGAGGTGTCTACGGACAACGCCGGCTCTTCAACTTAGAATTGGAGATGAGCACCAACTCCTACAATATGACATGACTAGAATTAATGTCAGGAGAAACCTTTACCTTTGCATATGGTCTGCCAGATGGTAGTAATTCAAAACAATAATATACTGGGTAAGATGGATCCCCAAAAATTCCCTGAGCTTTCTTAAGGCTGTAGGAATTATAACGTTGGGTTGCTGTGAGTTATCCGAGCTGTATGGCCAAGTTCCAGAAGCATTCTTTTCAGGCATTTTGCCCACATCTATGGCAGGCATCCTTAGATGTTGTGAGGTCTCAACCTCTGAGGATGTCTGCCATAGATGTGAGCAAAACGTCAGGAGATAATGCTTCTGGAACATGGCCATACAGCCTGGAAAACTCTCAGCAACCCAGGTTTGTGTGTGTGTGTCAGGAGTGACTTTAGAAACTGCAAGTCCCTTCTAGTGTGAAAGAATTGATTGTGCAAGGACATTGCCTGAGGGACACCCAGATGTTCTGATGTTTTACCATCCTTGTGGGAGGCTTCTCTCATGTCCCCACATGGAAAGCTGGAGCTGACAGAGGGAGCTCATCCACGCTCTCCCCAGATTTGAACCTCTGATCTATTGGTCTTCAGTCCTGCCAGCACAAGGATTTAACCCATTGCACCACTGCAGGCTCCTACAGCAACCCAGTGATTCTGGCCATGAAAGCCTTCGACAACACTTATAAAGTTCTTCCAAAGGGAGGAGAGGGCAACAACCAATAATTATCTGTGCAGAAGTGGTGACCCTCTGGAGGACCTTCCTATCTGCCACCCTGCTTTGAAGAGATAATATGGCAGTGACTCGGGCCCCTTCTACACTGTCCTTGTATCCCAGGATTGTATAAGGGCCCTTCCACATAACCATATAATGCAGACTATCAAGGCAGATAATCCACAATATCGCTATGAAGTGGGTTATCTGAGTCCACACTGCCATATAATCCAGTTCAATGTGAATTTTTTTCAGCTGTGTGGAAGGGGCCTGAGTCTCCACTGCCATATAATCTGAGATAAGAACATTAAGTTAAGAATGGGGGTGAGACAACAGGAAGTGGGAGAAATCTTCCCCCAGGAAGGGAACTTCAATCCTGGAAGAGTTATCATGGGAGAAAAATGTCTCCACCAAACCTTGCTCACCAATCCTTGTTTCCATAAGAAGCCAAATTTTTCAAAATCCAATTATCACAGGGAGAGAAAGTGAGGGTAAATCTTCTGAACTGGGGCACAGACCGCAAAACAAACACTCCAAGGGTGTTCACCCTTTTCTATGCTTTCCTATGCATACATATATGATTGGAGTTACACTTAAAAATGTACCTGTTCCTACTTACATACAAATTCAACTTAAGAACAAACCTACAGGGCCTATCTTGTTCATAACTTGGGGACTGTCTGTAATTCAGTTCAAAGCAGATAATTTCAATTCAGAAGCTGGATTACATGGCCAGGAGAAAAAGGGGTGCCCACCCAAATTTGTTAGCAACAACATGCAGCTGTGCTTCGCAAAAAGGAACACCAGCCGGTTTAGCAAGCCTTGCAAATGTTGTTTTTTTTGTATATAAATGTTTGATTTGTATACCTATATACCTGGCGTCATGTAAACATTTCTTGGTCTGAAAGAGGTCATAAGTGGGAAATGTTTAAGAAACCCTGATAGTATAGAATATATACGTCAGCTTCACATTGCCAGAATCAGAATGACTTTTTTCCTGTTCTTAAATATAAACTAACCTCGAAAAACATGTTTATTTTTTATGTATTAGAAGAGTAATATAACTTAATTTTTAGTTGAATACAGTACTAATAGTAGAACTGCTATATGTCTTCAAGCTACGTAAAGATCATTCAATTTTTTCACCAACTGTCTAATGTTTAAGAGGGAGCAGACACTCTGACCAGCCCTGCCACTGCCTGGGAGCATCTACACCAGTGGTTCTCAACCTGTGGGTCCCCAGGTGTTTTGACCTGCAGCTCCCAGAAATCCCAGCCAGTTTACCAGCTGTTAGGATTTCTGGGAGTTGAAGGCCAAAACATCTGGGGACCCACAGGTTGAGAATCACTGTAACAGGTGGTCTCTAGTTTGCTCTTCTATGCACTCGTAAGTCACGGACTCAACTTTGTGGCCCCATTTCTTAAGGTTTACTCTGCATCTCATGGTGCCAGGGTGCAGTTTGTTCAGCACCT